AGCTGAGAGGACCAAGAAGTTTTGGATGGATTATCCAGTTCAAGTTGTGGTATCTTTAGGTGGATGGCTTTTATCCCAGTTCTGCATTAAGAAACCTCCAAATGTCCCCTTTCCTCCAGGATTATTAGCGCCAGTGTTATACCAGCTTTGTGAGCAACATAAACTTATTTCAGTATGGGATGGATTCATCCTCGACTCACGTCAATTGATTCCAACCGGACGTGAGACATGGGCCGGTGTCAAGGTGGTTATCGAGGCAGTATTGAAGCTGAGACGAGGTAGTTTGAAGAAATTCCAAGTGCTTTTGTGGTGTTGTAGTGGCACAGCAATAGCGCTACACATGCTCTTTGAAAATTGTGCTAGGTTGTTAGGATTGAAACCACTGCCCTGAACGCACAGAAAGTACACTTATGCTCTCCCTCTAAACTTAATGCCTGTATTACTCCAATTATTTGTTGCTATTGTGTACATTGAATTACATTTATCGTTTGCTGTAATGATTTTTTACCTCTATCATCTTTACCACTTCTTTCAACGTCTGTTCCTTTGTCCGAGATTTCAGTTTTGCCTGAAGAGAAACTTGGAGAGATCAGCTCAGAACTGGAATGGGTAGCGCATGGGATAAGTTGTACATGGTACACATGACCTACGCCACCTGTCCAGTGTGCCAAACACACTTAACGGTTTCAAAGCAGCCGAGAGACGGGGAAAAGTGGATTAAGGTCAGCAAATGATTGAAGGGCGAAATGGAGAGACACATCGGACAGGAGAGGGGCGTACTCAAGGATGAATACTCTATGCTAATCCTGTGTGCGGAGCTGCGCTAACCGTAGTGGTTTTCCCATCAAAACCTCCCTTCTTCCAACCGTGTTAGAAAAAGAGGCGCACCCATGAGTGACTTGACTCTCCCTATGACCAGCAAGGACATTAGTTTTATGTTTGAGTGAGTTTTAGTTTAGCGTTTCAATTTTAGCAACCTAATAGTGTGTGCTTTTTGGATCGTTGTAGATCGCTTTTAGACATGCCTAATATATCCACTGCGAACACACAAATTAGTCCTGTATCATCACCTGCATCTTCTGTAGCGGAGACAAGCACAACGACCAGCAGTAGCACCACCACTACAACCACTACAACCGACTATGGCAACGACGACTACGACGTTCTTCACAACACGCAGTACTACAACAATGGACATCGCCACCTGGGGTATTGACATACAGTCCGCACTGCTTCCTCACCACACTACGCTTTTTCCAACTTTTCTTCCACCGTCTATCACTTTAACTCCTCCTCGGTTCACCATCACAGCTGCACCTCTTGGTTTTGCGAAGGTCTTTCATGCGCCTGCACAGCCAAAACGTGCTGTTCACAAGAAAAATTGGATCTTTAATAAGTCACCGCTATATACTGCAGCTCGCACTGGTACTACTCGACCTCCTACAACCATAACAACTCCAACAACGACGGTAACAACGACTACTCCCGCACCAACGACCACTTTCGCTCCAACGACTACTCGCGCTCCATTTACTACGACTCTGTTCTTCAGGCGTCGACAGTTCCGACCATCACAAGTCAGGCCGGTAAGTCTATTTACCTTCTAGACTAAATGAGAGTATAGCTCTTTTCTCAGCTATCTCCTCTCCTATAATACTCTTTCCTTCCTTTTACCTTTCTTTCGGTTCCAACGTTCAAACAGTTAGAGCTCTTTTAAGCGCATTGTCGTGACGGCAGAGGCTCGTGCTGCAGCTATAGAACGGTTTCGCGAGCAACAAGCACGTCTTGACGCCATGCGGCACCGCATACGGGCTGATGTTGCACGTAACCGACTTCGTAAGTTCCAAATATATTACTATCTGATACAAAGCACAGTACACGTCCGTTGTGTGAGCAGGGAAGGGCTCATCATTGGGGCTTCTTTACTGACGTAACCCTCCCCTACAACCTCTCAGAAAGGCTTGGCGAACCCGTGAGGGATGCTAGTGGTAGTAAGCTATGCTCGCAGTAGCTTGGATTGAAGGATGGTGAAAAATGGAAAAGTCACTGTTTGAATTTGGTGTGTCTCTTGGTACCTGAACACAATTCCTCTATACCCGTCAACTTCCTCCTTTCGTCTGCGCTCCTCGCGTTATTAGAGTGCGATGATCACTGTGTCGTCGCACATTCCAAGTTCCCATCTATGGTAATTGCTTCAACCACAACCCGCGTTAATCCTCGAGAAGTCCTTCCCCTCGATTTCATCACGCTCTTTTTGACCTTCCAACATCCACTGATCTAACTGTATGCGCTACATGGGTTTCGCGGCAGGACCACAGAACAAAGTTGACTTACCACGGAATGTCCGTCAAGTTACCATGGAACTTTCAGTGGGGACCTGGTAGATCGATGGAGTCTATAAGGTTATTTACAAATATAGATAGCAAAACTGCAACCTGCATTTCACAAGCAACTTATGAGCAGGTAAAGTTTGTAATGGTGCAGTAGGGTGGAGGCTTGGTGGTGAGCTGTGAAGCATAAGCGAGGAATCGCATACGTCGAATCGAGTCGTCGAACGTCGAACCTTACCACTGAACCACAAGAACTCCACCCTACTGCTCCATTACAAACTTTACCTGCTCATCAGTTGCTTGTGAAATGCAGGTTGCAGGTTTCCTATCTATATTTGTAAATAACCTTATAGACTCCATCAATCTACCGGGTCCCCACTGAAAGTTCCATGGTAACTTGACGGACATTCCGTGGTAAGTCAACTTTGTTCTGTGGTCCTGCCGCGAAACCCATGTAGCGCATACAGTTAGATC